ACCACCTGCACTTCCTGGAGGTGAACTGAATTCCTACAGAGTTCACACTCCACATAAGCTCCAGACTGACAGTGGCTGCAGATTTGATGCATTGTCCTTTTATAGCACTATAGTCTTTTTTTTTAAAAAAGGGAAAAGTGGAATAATCTGTGAGATAAAATATATTTTACGCTATTCCTTTTGCTTAGTCACTTAACATGTAAGATCTACTTGCGTGCTTCACATTACACTGATCTCTTATTACTCCATTTGGGACCTCTGGGATTAAGACTGCGTAGCTATAGAGTTGTAAACAAAATGTCAAAAACATTAAAAACATTATTACATCAGAAATGCTTTTAGGCAATGCACCGTGTTGTTTTCCCAAACCATTACACAATGGCTTCTTCAGAAGCCTAGAAAGGTTAAACCAATATAAATTAGATTGTAATAAACAGTTATCTCTCCACGATTACTTCTTTCAGGGAGATTATTTTAAAACTACACAAGGACTCACCAGAGCTGGGAAGAGTAGTCTACTGGCTTAGGCACCTGTGACATGAAAAGATACAACAGAATGAAGATCAAGATTTTGAGGGGAAAATAATGAGGGAAAAGAAATCAGGCACACAAGCTAATTAGTCTGGAAGTCTATTTCCCCCTGAATGAATTAATAAAGTGCACATTTGCCATACCACTCTGAAAAACATATAGAATATTTTATCCTTTTGCTGCCGTGACAGACAGACATATGCTACAAAATTTAGACCAAGTTTTTTTCTTTAATAGAAGAGTGAAGTTTATTTTGACAATGCCTACACTTATTTTAACCATAAAACAGCCTAATAGTACATACTGTCTAAAAGTATCACTAAAATATGTAACAAATACATACAAAATTCACTTCATGTTTCCAGGACTGTATGGGCTTGAAAAGACAGTCTACTAGGAAATACGCTGTATCATCTCCTGAGAGAGTTATGACGAATCCATAGATTGCACTGTATGACTCCATTCATGCCTTTGTACCTAAGTTGTGTTAGTTATGCACTGTATTTTAATAAGCATGGAATCTGAAGCTCAATTTCAATTTTAAAAAAATGAAGAAAACTAAAATCAGTTTGCAAAAAGGGCATTATACGTATACACAAAGATATGCATAAAAGAACGTTAATTCATGCACACACACAGCACAGTAATCCCTGTTAAAATCAGCATTTCATCTGGACCATCTCACACTGGTGTCTGAGATACTTCAGTGTTAGCCTACTCTTCTAGTACGACTGTGAGAAACTTACAAGGCACTAAAAAATTTGTATTAGTGGAAGTTTAGCATACATCTTGCAGACCTATAACCTAAGGTCATATATTCTTAGATCAGCGTATGGTAACTTTTTTTTTCCTCCAGTAAAACCACATAATATTTTATTACTTTCTGGAATCTAATAGGGCAATAATTATAGTAACATTCTTAAAATTCTTATTTATGATATATGGAATGTCCCCAACAGAGGCTTCCAAACACAAACCTATTCAGGAAGATACTGTCATACTTGTCTACAAACTTAAACTGACTCAAATTTAAATGAATTACAACTCCCACTGACTTATATGCTAAATTATGCATAGATACATGTGGCTGACCTCAGGTATCAACCGAGCTCTCTATCAGATCTCTAGACCTCACCTTGAAACAAACACCACTGATGGAGAAAAAAAACACACTACACATTTAGCACATACGGTGTATTCTGCAGTTAAAGTAGCAGCAGTCAAATAGCATGAAAGATTTTAGCATAACATATCAAAAATGCTGTGGTGTACTCTAGCAGTAGTGCTGAGGCAGTAAGAGGCAGCCTTTGAATGGAATAAAGTGGAAGAGGAAGTTACAAAGCTATTTTTAAGCCAAGATATTATATGCCAGATGACAGTGGACAGTTGAGTATGAGGGAACATATAGAGTAACACTGACATTTACAATCAAACTAGAAATTGCGCTGGTAACACGTAATCCTGCAATCTCCTCAAAAAAGCACAAGTTGACTGGAAAGCAAAATTACTAAATTACTGAAACAAGGAAGAATTGTTATGGTTTCCCTGTTTTAAGGCTCTCAACTTCACTCTGAGAAATCTCAGCACTAGAGTTACATAAAACACTTATTCGGAATACTTCACTGAAAATACTGGCTAAGTGTTTACATACATTCATTCAGAACATTTTTGTTGGAACACAAAAATATTGCTCCTAGGATTAAGTTAGCAACTCTCCTAATCATTCTTTCTACAGAGAAGCAAACAAAATTGCTCTGTTTTTTGTTTTGGCTAGCTTTAAATTTACTTAAGACTTAACTTCCAGCCCAGCACCCTAAGATTCATTTTTATGAACCAAAATTTGCAGAGTTCACAATACTGCCTTTGACAAAATGGTCATTCAAAGTAGACACATAACACTTGAGTGCCTCTAAATCCAAGGCATTTACGAAAAAAATCTGCATTATACCAGATAGTCCACAAATTACTACTTCTCTAAATCACAGAGGATACACTGATGTGAAACTCATTAAAGGGCTCTGTGATAAAACCAGGGTCACACATTCAGCCTGCACAACAGTAAATCCATCCAGATGTTGAAACAATCATTCAGTTAGCCTAACTCTTGGGAGAGAAAAAGGAAGAACAGGCAAACATGCATTACTCCCAAACTGCTTCGAAACACAGGAGGCCTAAGACAGTCACGGAGGCACTACCCCTGCGGCACTTAGTGTCCCTTCAGCTACTGGGGAGGTTACTCAGGCACCTCTGCTGCTATCAGCAAGAGCTGGGAAAAAAAGGTTAACAGATGATGAACATGAGAGAATACTCCCATGAGAACTGCTTTAGTGAAGCCGACCCAATGAGGTATCTGAAGGCCAACTGGGCACTCACTAAACCAGTCCTCACATGGCACAAGATATTTCAATCATACAGTTCATCCATAGAAAACTTACACCTGAATGCTTTGTACTGTCACCTGATGACTAATTAAACAGCATGCGTTTTATCAGCAGCCAGACAAAAAGGAATAGTTTAAACAACAAAAAAAAAACAGAAAAAACAAAACACACCAATACACAAACAGGCTTACTTTGTCAAGTAGCCCTACTTTGGAAAGGACATGAAAATTCAAAAACGGCTTAGCCCATGCCTTAGAGCAGTCAAATCACTGATGATTAGTCCTTTCCATTAATCTGGAATGCAGTGAGATATACTATGAGCATTGGCCGTTGTCAGGAAATAGAGGAAAATCAAATATTTATCCAGAGGCTCTTCACTTGCACTGTGCTATATATCCAATGCCATCAACAGAAATGAGAAAACTGGAGAAAAGCTAGGAAGAACCAGATATTACTCATATGGTACAGAAAATGTCTCCTGACATATACTACTTATTGCAAAGAAGAAAAAATTGTTTATAGGTACAGCTGTGAAAAGTCTGGAATATAGATATTCTGGAGCTCAGCAGTTTTTCATTCAATATTCATTCCTAAAGTCTTTTGATATATGTACTTTATGCTGTTTCTGGGCATTTTTATATCGGCTGGTTGTAAAGGCTGTTACACTTAATAATAATAGTAAAAGTTATAGCATGTTAGAAATCTGATTGATGTTTCAGTATCTTTAACTGCATCATTTGTCATAATAAGATGTTTATATTTCACCCTTCCAAGTTAACAGTGGCAAAGCATCCATTTATCTTTCTGGTCCAACCATGACACCGGTTGCTAAAGTTTCATGAATAATATTTATTTATTCTGTAAAAACATGTTATTTTCAATCCTCCTCTTAACAGTGTATTTCTAAATTTAGCAGAAAGCTTTATCATTAGAAAGCAACCTTCACAGCACCCAAGTAGAGTTTTTCCTAACTATGAATATCCTGCTTCCTCTGCTTTAAAGTATGGTGGTGACTCCTCAACTATTTTTGCCTTTGTCAAGACTGTCATTGCATTTATAGCATGTTCCTAAAGCCAATGATATCTGTCAATGATATTACAGAATGACTGACCGTTTGGCTTCAAGGACCTAAAGCTAATCCATAGCAAGTACCGCCTGCATCCAGCACCACTGGCAAGTGACACCATGGCACAGGGAAATCCACTGCTTTCACTCCTTAAACAAGGGGAGAAAAGTTAACCTCACCTTTGCCTTTGTTACAGATCTGTTCTGCCACCGAGTTTAGCACACCTTGTAGCTACAAAAATTCTAAGCATTCCTCTTCAAACAAAACTCTGAATATCTAGGGAAGTAAAGATTCCTGCAGGTGTACTACTGTACCTGTACTTTAGGATCACACGTATATTTGTTTTAGAAACTAAGGAACAATAAAAGCCTTTAAGGCATATCAAAATGCAGCCATTAATAGCTGATTCCACCTACCTGCAATCCATTTTGTAGCATCTTGATTGTTGTAATGAAAGCAATTTTATTAATAAGTCTAACTCTGTTGTGAATCAAGTTAAAGCAGTCTTAAAGCAAACGAAGGAGTGTGATTCATCACTGCATTATTATGGGTTTACATCAATTAATCTCGATGAAGGAAGATATGATAATTTGATGCACAGTGTTACAGAGGGCAGAGAATGAAGGAGCATGCAGTATTTAAATTAATGCAATCACATTTGCAAAATGTGTTACAAAAACTCATGAGTACTTATTGTAAATTAATTTTTCTTATTGCTGTCCTGAATTAATCTTGATTGAGCACAATCCTGGATGAAATAAAGGCAGGTAAAAACTTATAGAGATGAGGAAATTTATCGACCAGTCTGGATTTAAGGTTCTCTTTTCGTTTTACTCTTTCAGATTTTTAAACTCACTACTTACGGTGTAATCTCTCTCTCTAATCCAAAGTGACTGAGGAATAGATTTGAACAGCAGCTTTCTAACCTCACTGTTGGGGAAGAAAGTATACTTTCACATAAAATTTGTTTGTTCTATACTCTGGAAACTGTTTAGACAATCCCATTTATTAATATTCCCAAAAGTTAAATCTGCCTCTTGAATATGTTTTCTTGACATGTACAATTTAAATCCAATAACCAAAAGTATTAGAATGCTGTATTTTAAGCAATATTGAACTTACCATGAAAACACAAAGGAACTAGAAACAATATGATTCCCATAAGGTAAGATTTATAAAACCCCTGCATAAACTAGGCAATTTTCCTGTAAGATGACACACAGAATTAAACAATTGTACTTACACATGGGCTAGGTTTTACAGCATCACTTGGGAAGAAGCCAAGCTCTCCTGTCGTTAGATTTCTGCCCTAGAGAAAAACAAAATTTCCTGTTTTTGAGACATAATGGGGATAAACAGAAGATAATACTATGTGTACAGGGTTTTGGGACTATAAGAGCATATCAGAAGAGTCCTTAAAATGAAGAATTAGTCTAATAAAATGTAATTCAATAGTAATTTTTTAGTTTATATAATTAAGTAATAATGATAGCTGATACACCTGAGAGCTCTGGGGAGACAGGATGCAAGACCGGCTCAGAGCTTGGGTTGTAATTCCCTGTTCTGCCAATGACTGCCACTGGCTGAGGTCTTCATTAGAGTTGATTCTAATTATTTACCCTCAAATCAGTTCCTCTGAGTCGGCATCACTCGAGTGCGAGCTGCCACACTGCAACATTACAGATCCCCAGAACAAGGACACCGTGCAGGATGGCGGTCGTAGCAGCTGAGAAGCCCTGCTACCCTAGGTGGAAACCTGGGGCTGCT